TGGGCCCGTTGTAGGACATCAACAGAAGCCATGTCTTTCGGCAAGTTAAAAATAAGCCTCGCAGCCCTGCCGTGAAGTCTTTCCAGGGACTGAAATAAGTCGGAGTTGCAGCAAGATCCCCATACTATAAGACCATAGGTTAAAGAATCTCTAGACAAAATCTGCGCTACATTAAGGAAATTTACGTTTGAAAAACACCTTTTGCGTAAGCTCTTACCATCCTTAAACTGACAACTGGTCTCTCCTTTGGCCTGCGTCTATCCAAGAGAAAACCGCTTTGCTCACGGTGCACGTCTGAGATATCCAAGGACTCATCACTGTCTTTAACATCAGTCATTTTGCATGGCACTTGATACGCTTTTACCAAATGATCAATGGCTGGCCAAAAGAGCCTTTCCGCTACACCAAAATCTTCTACCAGCTCTCCAGAGCACCTTTGCCGAGGCACTGTCCAATCGGCCATGCCATGCCTTGTGGCTGTTTTAACAAACTGTACCTTCTGGCTGATGGATCTCTCCCTGCGCCAGAACGTCAGGCGCGCTTTAACTGGATGGGTGATCGTCAAGGAAAGGCAGTGATGCTGTACCGACAGGGTTGAAAGTTTACCAGAATTGCACTGCTGAAGAAGGTAAAGAGCATTCTTGCTAAAGATGAAATGGCTCGTGTGTTCATCTTCAAATGTCCAGCGTAAGGTCTTCTGGCACATGGCTGTGGATATCTCAGAAATATTTACGCCTTGAGGTATTTCACAGGCGGCCCCTTGCAACAAACAGAGAGACAAAAGCTCCATACGACTACCAGTTAACAGGACGTTATGTTGGCCGCAAGAAGACTTCGTCATGGTCAGATCTACAACAACTTGGGTTGCACTGTCTCCACCTCCAGTTTCAAAACACTTCTGTTGAAAGCATTCCTGGACTGAAAGTGAAATCTTTCTGTCTAGTGCCAGCAGTTCCTCGATATCCAGAAAGACAGATGAAGTGTAAGCCACCAGAAAACTGTCAGTTGGCACATTCTTCTTGAAGGCTAAACTTCTGTATAACTCCTCGTCAGGGTGGGGCCGTTGCGGGTAAATTCCATTCAAACCAACCGTGGAATAGACCAGGACGTCTTGCAGGGCAGTTTTCCCGTTGCAGGTGATTGACGTTTTTGATGCATAAACTTGAACATCACCACTGAGAACATGTACAAAGCCATCTTCGTTCTGAGAAATTCTAGAATACAGGTCATATGCTGCAAAGGTCGTATCGATCATTTTCAGCTCAGTAGACAGGAGAATGAGGAAAATTAGCACGAGCTTTAAGTTAAGCTGGTCATCACAGGTCGCCATTGTTGATGCTGTTGCTGTTGCCGTTGTTGTTGTTGTTGTTGTTGTTGTTGTTGTTGTTGTTGTTGCCTCTACAGTTGATCTTTTGGAGCTACTCTCACTGCTGATCTTTGCGCTGACTTCATTAAGCTCCTTCAAACAATCAAACATCTCACGTTTATTTTCCAATGTTTCTCGGTTTCCGAGTCGTTTCTCGGTGAGAACGTCGTACAGGCGTGTAACACATGCATAAGTAGGACCTCGGGTGGCGTCTAACGCCATGGAATACTTCCTTGCTTGCTGAAAAAAGACAGCAGCTTCTTTTTTCATTCCTTGACGAAGGAATATCTGACCACTCTGCAAGAAATCATTTGTGTATTTGAATGAAACTATCTCTTTGGATTCTTGGCATTGCACGTTGTTTGCAGAACGGGGCTGCTTTAGTTTGGTTTTAGTTCTTCTTAGAGGAGGGATGTCGTCCTGGACAACCGGTCGTGATAGCAACACTGCCAATACCACACCATGCTCAGCAGCTAGACCTTCAATCTTACAGGTATCCTCTAGCATCTTGCTCTGATGAAAGGTGTTGGAACTCGTCATTTCCAAATACTTCCTGGACAACTGATTGACAAATGACACTTGGTATATAGCCTCTATGTTTTCCATGGCTCGCTGAAAGTAGAAATACGATTCATCTGCTCGTTTCGATCGTAAAGCCAGTTCACCAAGAGACATGTAGCACTTGAGAAGAAGCGGATGCTTTATTCCGAATATCTCTTCCAAGATTCCAATAGAGCATTTGAATTTCTCCACCGCGCTCGAGACCTTACCAGCGAGAGTTAGAATCGTTCCTTGCTTGTGCAGCAGTGAGGCGACATTAACATGATCAGGTCCAAATGTGCTCTTGAGAATGTTTACACCTGTTTCCAGAAGTTCGCAGGCAAATCTGATTTTGCCCTTTAGAACAATCACGTCCACCAATTTCTCAACTGTTTCAATACGTACATTGATGTGCAGTCCTCCAAACAACTCTACAAGGTCTATGTCATCTACATCAAGGATAAACGCCTTTTCTGCTTCCTTTGGTTTTCCATGAAACAAGAGGACTTCAGAAAGATGCAGTGCTACGAAATTCAGAAGAAAATCGCAGTCTTCTCTGCCGTAGCAGTACGATACCATCCATTTCAACTCATGCTCTGCTTTGCTGAATTTTCCGAGGGTGGTATACGACACTGCCAGGTTATTCAGCATTGTAAATACAATTTGAAGAGGTAACTCATTTACTTCGTTAGTTTTACAGCTTTCGACCAACTGCACTTGCTTCTCAATGGCCTTGGAATAATTCCTATAAATCAGATGTAACCGACCAATGTTGCTATTTATTGCAATGGACATTGTCTTCAGTAACGGACTGTGCAGCTGATGGCGTTCTTTGGCCGAATCCAAATGCTTCAACGACGTTTTAAAATCGTACTCTGCCTGTTTGAAATCCCCTAGTATCAGTGATATGCAGCCTGTGTTGTTGTAAGCTGCCCCCAAGTCGCGCTTACGGCAAGTTACAGCTGACTGTCGATGGAAATCGATAAGCAATGAAAATGTTTCTTTAGCCATTTTGAACTCGGAGATTACCACAGCAAAGGCACCAATGACGTTAAGCAAACTACTGTAAAACTGTGTTCCGGAATTACTTGAGTCCAACAATAAAGTTCCGTGCTTCACAGAACAACTCACGCTGTCCTCAAGAAAAAGCTCTTTCCCACGACTTAATACTCTCAGACCATCTTTAGTTGGATTACCGAAAAAACGCTGACCAAGGTTCTTAACGGTTTGAAAGACACGCTGAAGTTTCTCTCGAGCACCTGCTATGTGATCGCTTTGCTGGAGGTTAATAGCCTCGTCAAGCAGTGCCACGACAATTTCGTTCCCCTTTCGTGTCTCCTCGGTGTAAAACATTTCTGACGTTATTCGATTTACGCCGTTTTTGGTCGAAACCCCGTGTGAATTGATCTCTTTATTCAACGGAATTTCTTTCGTTCCACGTGCTGTTAAAATACAATAGAAATAAAATACATGTGAAGATTGGACTACCTCTCTGTTGATTAGGAAATTTCAGGCAGATTCCATCATTTTTTACGGGGTAACGAATTTGATAATTTACACTAGACTGCTTTCTAGGAAACTATCCATTATCTGTTTGCTAGTAGACCACGAGCAGTCCGGCGTTGTTCCTGATATCCTCCGCGTCATAGGAAAAGTTAAAATCATGAAAATTACGGAAAGAAGTAAGAAGAGAATAAGGCAATTCCTATTTTTCCGCGCCCGCGCTTGTCGCCACTCCATCGTTCTTCTTTTGCTTTGCTCGTAGTTAAGATTAATGGCTGAGCTGAACGGTATTAAAATATGCTATGTGACGTTCACAAAAATCGCTTAGTCTGGCCCTGGACGAAAATTAAAGGACTAGCCAGCTACACTAGTGAGTGACAAAATGCAGATGCAACAATTAAAGGTACTCTGATGTCAGTTATTTCACTCCACATTAAATGTCTCATGAAAAAAAACAAACAAACAAACAAACAAACAAAAAACAGACAAACAAACAAAAGAAAAAAAAAATACCTGGCACAAGAAAAAAACTCCTCGACATTCTTCTAACATTAACTTACGTCGAGTAGTGGACGAATAAGACGACTTTGAAATTGGTATAGTTTTTATTGGCCTTTGAATTACAGAGGAACATCGTGGAGAGAACCAGAAGAAAAGTGAGACATCATACCATTTTGGAAATGTAGAAGTAACGATAAAGCGCTTCATTATTCCAGGCTTACTTGATTAAGATGTTTACATTTACACTGACGTGTTTATTTTTAATCAATAAATGGTGGTCATTCAATTAGTTTAGCTCTACAGTTATTTTGGGTGCCAAGCTACTGGCTGTATTTTTAATCTACATGTTATATAACCTTGCAAATTCTAAAGCACAAACAAATGTTTTCTTTTCATACCAGCAGCTCTTGAACAGACAGGAGCTTTGCGTTTCCTCCAAGATTGTAAATATTTAATGACTGTCCTCAGTGCTGCTCTTGCTGTGCCATGTTTTGTCGTCGATTTGAAGTCCACAGCGGGCTCGAGGAGAGAAATATCCACTGAATCTGCATACAAACAGCCCACGTTACCTGCAAAGTATACATCGATATCCCTTTGATTAAAGGAAGACGAATCATCAAAAATTCGACAATTCATTTTATTTCAATTCATTTTATCTTGGTGTAGTTTGATGACCAGCTCTTTAAGCTTTAATTTGATATATGGGTTGAGGTATCTTCAGTTTAAAAGGAGCGCGCTACGTCGCTTGGACGTGAGACACCTCTTGAGGTATACGGTACAACCTTAAGAGCGCACTTCTATGGAGGTACTGTTTATGCAATATTCTACCTTCAGTTTGATCGACTTTGCCTTCGTCCTCTATCCAGTGCTTCAGAAGTTCTTGATAATGTAGCCCGATATCAGGGTCCATACGATCAACCTTCAGTTTGTCTATGTGAGGTCCGTAACGCTCTCCTCCAAGTCGCATCAGTGTTTGTTGAATATCCTGCCAGTATTCATGAAACGTGTGGTCGTCAACATAGGCTTTGCTGGCATGATTGTATATTTCGTCTCTGAAAACCTTCACTCGGATGATGTCAGCTTCAGTGCTCGTGTCCGTTGCAGGAGGAGGACTATTCCAGCCAGTGGCGGGTGGTTTCAAGCCTGAAAAGTTCCTCAACAGCACCATCAACAGGGTAACGTCAAAGTTTTGCGACGACACAGACGAAGGACAGGAAGGGTACAACTTTACCCATTGTATTGGATTAAGAATTTTATGCTTCCCTTTGTAAAGCATTTCAAGGGAGGCTCGTACCGGATGCCTTGATAACTTATCGTGAAGACTTGCTGGAGGGTTTATTTTATCAAACCTGTCTCGAAGAGCCTGGCTTCCCACGTCCACCATAAGCCGACATAGTCGGGCATAATTTGTAGTTTCTTTGGTAGAAGCGTGGGCATTTACAGAGGCAGAAGCCATGGTATATTCCAAACCACGTAAATCTATACCAGTAGTACCTTCTGGGAACAAAACGAGAGCAAAGTTATACAAAAATAGAACCGTAAAGCAAATTATATTGGAGAAGTTTGCGTGCACGCTAACGACAATATAGCTAGGTTTCCTTATGACTGGGACAATAACATCCACGTATTACTCCACGTAGACTTGACTAAGATCTGTTCCAAACTGCAACTCGTGCTACGAAAGCTTTCTAAGATTGCTCGGGTAAGTTACTGAAAGTCTGCTTGAAGACTAGTGGCTCAACATACGTAAGTACAAAAAAAAAAATTCAAACAATGCAAAATATTGCATAACAAAAGCTCTCACATCTTTCAAATTTAATGCACACTTCCCTGGTTGATTTTAAACGCTTCTAATTCAAACATCGTTAAAATTTTAACGGTTAGACTTTGTGACTTTAACTTAACTGATTTATCCAAATTTGTGCATTTTATATTTAAGAGAGATTTGGACTAATAAATTTCTTAATACCAAATCTTTTCAGTTGTTGTACTCTCTCTTTATTCTAATTTCCTGAATCATTTTCTTTCCTTTTTTGGGGAGAGGGAGGGGGGAGTTGTTTATACTTGGAGCCTTTTTGTCAATTATTGAAACTTTTTTGAAATCCAACTATACAGATCTAAGATGGCAGACAACTTCTAGAAGTAAGTAATGGCAAGGCGTGACAGACTACACAATCTCCCCCCGGAGTGGAAATTTTGAAACCGGTCCTATTATATTTTCATTCTAACGTGGATATCTTTTAAGGACTTTCCTTTTTGTGGTTACTGGCTTTTAACCATAATGTCATCAGGGGCCCGTTTCTCGAAAGGCCCGGAAACTTTTCGGGCCCGTAAAGCCATTTTTAGTTCATCTGTACTGATCTAAAAACGGAGAGGTGTGTGCGCCTGAAACTTCTTGTACGAAAGGAACCTCTGTTTATATTAAAAATATGTGAATAAAACAGATCCGTAATTGTAAGGTTCGAGTTTTTGCTACGGCTTTCCGGGTGCGAAAACTTTTCGGGACCTTCGAGAAATGTGGTCCAGGTCCGTTAGTAAGTAGTAAGATAGTCCGTGACGTTTCGGAAGCTTTCGGAAGACCCTCTCGGAAGATTATCACAAAGCGAGGCTGAAAATACCTCGAGATTTGCTCGAGTTCTTTTGATTGATTTTAACCTTTAAAACGCAATGAAAGTAACGACTTTTACTGTTTAAAATTGGTTCCGTTTGATTCGATATCACTATTGGAGTGAAAAAATTACGAATTTGCTAGTAGCGTTACGGAGCATTACGAATGACTACGATCTCTAACCGCTGACCGCACGTAGGACACTGCAAACTCGTTTTCCCACGCTCTTCGAGGTGACGCGGCTTTGTAAGTACACACGGTTTTCTATTTTTTTTTTTCTCATATAACCAAGCACAGCTATCGCCGAATGTGCCACAATATTGTTCTCGAAGAATCTTGCAGGATTTTGAGCAGTTTCCGAAAGGTTTTGTTTGGAAATATGATTGTTACGTGCCTTGAAAGCAGCGATCGAGCAAATAAACTGCATATTTGCAAATTGATGTTTGTTTCATGTTGTCATACTACCTGGAACTTAATGTAATGTTTGTTTTATTATAGATATTTGTTCTAGTTCCAGACAGGATTGATTCTAAAACGCTCTGCTGGCAAAAGCTATCTGAACTGGGTCGATTTAACAAATTGACGTCAGTTTTTCATGCGTCTGTCCTGTTAGAGGACAGACGCATTTTTTTTTTTACAGTAACAAGTTGTCAAATAGCAGATGTGCACGTTGTCGTCATTTGACTACAACTACCACAATTCCTTTCGATTTTTTTTTTATTATTTAAATTTTGAAACCCCAGTGGGGTTTAAATAACAATAGCCATAATTAGCATAAGAAACAGAAAAACTGAAGGATTCTGGTAGCTGTAGCCAAATGACGCCATCATGCAAATCGCCTATTGTTCGCTCTCGCTCGTTGATGCATCGCATAAATGATAAATTGCTGTGTCTGTCGGCCTATTGACAATGAAAGTTAGCCAATGAGCGCGGGGAAATTTCTGCAGTTATCGTAAAAATAAAGATCGTTCACATAATTTCTTCATTCGGAAATTCTGGATTCTTTCAATGTTAAATACCGACAGATCAAGCATGTTTGTTTCACATATAGAAAGAAGAGTAAGTTCCGTGTCGTCTGTTCACCATCGTTTAAAGTGCCACTATGATAAAATTCTCGATATCCATTTTTTTTACATTTTCGTACACAATAGGTCTTTCCTAGATATCTTGCTAAATTTCAATCTATTACGAACATAAGAACTCGCGGACCTCTATTTCAGAGAATTTACGGCCGCCATTTATTTTCCTTGTTCCAAGTCTTGGTTGAGAATTTGAGAAAATGACGTCATTTTCTCAAAAATACCGCACGGGTTGAAATTATAATAACAATTGATGTAGAAAATTGCACGAATATATGAGCCAAAGTTTTTGTTATTCTTTATGCGAACTGCTGTGCTAATTGTTATCATAATTTCAACCCGTGTGGTATTTTTAGAAAATGACGTCATTTTCTCCAAATCTAAACCAAGACTTGGAACAAGGAAAATTAATGGCGGCCGTAAATTCTCGGAAATAAAGGTACAAAAAAAAAAACAAANGTCATTTACTCAAATTCTCGACCAAGACTTGGAACAAGGAAAATTAATGGCGGCCGTAAATTCTCGGAAATGAAGGTCCAAAAAACGTGAGTTCTAATGTTCGTAATAGATTGAAATTTGCTAAGATATTAGGAAAGACCTATTATGTACGAAAATGTAAAAAATTAAGTATCGAGAATTTGATCATAGTGGCACTTTACGCTTAACAGGATAATATTTCTATGCTATCACTAAGGGATGTCATTGGTTTTATGAAAAGCTCTTATGAAGGTAGAGTTATTCAAGTCGCCGTCCTATACGAAAATTACACAACTTTAACCATTTTGTCTTTGGCGACACGACGGGACACGTGAGAGTTTCCCGCGTCCACTCCCGTTCTCGTCTTGGCCTTCCCGTGCTTGCATCGCATAAAGGTCCCTAATGTTGCTCATAATGATGCAGAGGACATTAATGTCAAGCACTCAAATTTTAAACAATACTTTGCAATAAGACCAAAACGCCGCAACTCTTTTTTGCACTATAGTGGTTAATCGCTATCCAGTAACCACATGTCCTGTTAGAGGGCTTTTGTTTAAAAGCCAATAATATATAGATGTAGCCAAACCTAAAGGAGGAGCTCCTGGGTCTGGTTGTTTTATTAACCCATTGACTCCAGACGCTTTTTACCAAAACCCATATTTTGGACATTTTGGAGATTTTCAGGCTGGATATGGGCCAAACTAGCTCCAATCTAATCAAAAAGGCATTTGCAACATGACAGCATGCCTTTCTTTCCACTAGCATCGCGTTTTACAACATTTCTGCTCGGGCATGCGCAGAAATCTTGGATGAGAAAGTGACCTACGTGTTTAGGCTTTTCGGTTTTTTTAATTTTTTTTTTTTTTTTTTTCGCCTTTCCATTTTCTCCTGCCATTTCATATCTTTTTGCTGCAGTGATTGACCTTCTACTGGGCTTGCTTCCAGTTCAAAAATTTCCGAGAAAGCATCATCGAGACGGGCAATGTTTACCATGGAGTAGCAGGAAATTTTGCTGCGAGTTTTTCACTCACATTTCTGAGCATTTTCATGCATATTTCAGGCTCCACTGAGCAGGTCATTCTGACCTGGGTATCATTAGAAAGATCTTTTCCTCTTGCAGAACTTGAGTATAGATGATGCCAATTTTGGTCAGAGTTGATGACGTAGAAGTGGTCACTGATCAATACCGTTTCTTTAACAAGACTAGGATGACATCTTTATTTTGAACAGTGGGGCAGGTTCAGCAAATCTGTTTGTCTGTTCAAAACATCATTAATGTTATAACAATGAGCGTCTCGCGGGTAACCATTTTGAAGGAGAGTTTTCTTTAAATCAAAGAGTGTCGACTTAATAAACTCAGAAATATCAGTTCCGGCAAGAAAAAAGGAAAGGATCTAAATGACACAAAGCCAGAGAAAATAATTTCAACTTGAGGAAGTTTGTGGTCAAGTTTGTTTTGTTTGGAAAGCCACAGTGAAAACCTGTTCGGTCAATTTTGGAAACTACAGCTTTTCTGTAGGAGCATAAAAAGTGTTGGTTGGAAACTGATTTGTCATTGCAAGTAGCCAGCAAAACGGACGATCGATTCCTTGCAATGCTTGCACAAATTGGAATTCTTTTGGCAACTGATTTAATTAGAAAAGTGAATGGCAAGGGGACTTACAAAGGAATGCAGAATAAAAAAAGACATAGTGAAGAGGACGACAGATGAATCCTGCAGTTTACAGTCCTCCGCCTGTTTTTGTTTTGTTTTGTTTTATGTTTTTTGCTTTAAAATTGCAATTGGGAAGGAAGAGGTGAAAAAAATGCGAATCTGAAATTTAAGGAGGTATTACCGGTCTTCATGTGACGTCATCATTTCCCAAAATTGAAAATTACCAATTCTTCTGAAGTCTTAGTTCCATCAGATATAAGACCCTCTAAGAACTTGATGCTTTACAACGTTTAAGCTCGACAGGGTTCCTCAGTTATAGAGGACGTTTGAATTTCCAAGTGTATGCATTGCGTGACATTAAAACAGGCTTTCGCGTCGGTCAAAAGGGGAGTTATCTTTTATGTTTTTGCTACTGACTGAGCAGTTCTTGCTCTAGAAGAATTATTACTTTCAATGTGTCGGAATTCTAGAGTAATAACTTTTCGCTTCATTAGCAAAACTAAATGTAAGATGTTTCTGTTACTTTACGGCCGCCATGTTCGTGCCCCTCGGAAGGGCACCAACATGGCTTCTTCATACAAAACTCTAGAAATTTGGGTGAAACACTTAACTGAATAACGCGCGAATGAAAAAGCCTGAGCCCGTCTCACAACAACTTTTCGCGACATTTTTTCTTACGCTAATTACACTAACTCACGCGACGAAATGACCCTGTATCAGCTTGTTTCCAAAACGATTAGAATCCCCGAAAAAGAAGGACAGATCTCATTATGATCAACCAACACGTTAAAAAGATGCATTTTTCAGGTTTTTACGAAACTAACGCAATACTGCAGTTAGGCAGAGTTAGTTAAAGTTACCGAAATATTGCAAGCCCTTAATGCCCCCTCTTGTTGATTTTAGAATTAGACAGACAACGAAAGAGAATATCGGTGACATCTCAGCGTTGGCTGCTTGACACACTACTGCAAGGTATCTTAACCCTTGCACGAGAAATCTTTCAGTATCTCTAGCACTAGCACTGTTTACTGCGCATCTGCTTTTCTTCAAGACATACAGACACACGACAGTAACCTGAGAGTGACACAAACATGGTCACGCACGTATAACCCTCGGCTTTTGGGAAATGTCCCATCTCCCGACCAACCAAGACCTCATTCTCTTTTTGCGGAAAAAAAATTGTATAAAATGTAAATTCTTGGAATCACCATCGAGAATCAAAAACAACAGCAACAAAAGAAAAAAAAAAACCCGTCGAAGTAGACATTTTCCTAGCGGCAAATTGGTCCGTCAAATGCAAAGCATTCGCCGCGATATACTCCAAGTGGGGTATAGAATTCGACAGATATCCAATACAGCATACTTGAATATTGCATCTCTTATGTTGTTTTTCATTGCGTATGCAATCTTTTGTTTAAATACAGTTTTCAGTGATTATCGTGGGAAAGTTCAGTAAAATATGGATGCATGTATGTGTGAAAAGCAGAAATGATCGTCAGATCATCGCAATACATATTCACCGAAAAGACAATTTAGGACCGCG